TTTCATCACAATTTTTCCGCCAATGCGCTGTATAATTAATTGACATCGTTGTGCTTCGTCACATGATCACCATGTACTGATTTTGAAGAGTTATGGTACGAAAGACCTCATCAGATTTTCAACTAGCTTCGTCTCTTCGTGTGCTGATTTATTTATTTATACCTATTCGCGTGGCACCAGCCAATGAAAAGGTGATGCAGGCGATAGCAATGCATGGCAGTAATAGAGGGGTAAAAGAAGTAAAGCGGAACTGAAAAGTAAGCGAAGAGGAGTTAGGGCAGGGCTGGACGCCAACTAGTATGTGGTATCCTGTGGTAGCTGTTTGAATGTCTTTTTCTTTTGGCAGTATGGCAACATTGTCATAACTCGTAACATTTTGCCCTTTTCCTCCCTTCATCCTAACTTTGGCAGGATTGTAGATTTTGTGGGATGAGAGACCAGTTGCTGTGAGCAAGGAACGGAGGAGATATTTGCAAAAAGACAGGCTACGCAAGAGGGAAGCGGAGAGAGTTTTTAGTTCGCATATCTTGAGATAGAACAAACCCGCTTAGGCAGGACAGAGCATAAGGAGGAGGAAAGCCCAACTCAGTTTTACGATTTGTTTGGTAGGACGAAACTCACGCGAACCGAGGGCAGCACAGCAGAAGGAAGGTGATGCCAATCTGTGCTTGGAGTAGGCCCTGGGGGATAATGCCGGCAGAATTTCGAGCAGAATCTGGGTTATTTTTGAAAAGGAGCAGAATGAGCAGAATTCGGCAGAAAAGACTTAGTGCAGAAAAATGAGCATATACTCTGCAGAACCAGGTACGAAGTGCGGAGAGGGCTGCTAGCGCCTATTTATGGCTCCATTGTGTTCACAAGCACGTGAACTCGCTGGTACATGGTGTAGTGGGTAGCCTAGTGGAGGCACGACAATCAACAGGAATTAACTGTAATTGGACTTTCTCAGGTCCAGACCTGGATTACATGTAAAAAGGCAATAGAGGAACTTTCTCCGGTGCACACCTCGAGGTCAGAACAGCTCTTCTGCTCGGCTCTGTTGTTGTTGCAGTTTTATAAATCAGTAAAACACTTCTTTTTAATCAGTAAAGCCCAGGAGCTTTTATAGGGCGGCAGACTCGATACGCTCACGTACAGGGATACGCTAAATATACGGTATAGTAGTAGTCAGCTACAATTCGGTACTAGCAAGGCAGGGATACTACACATGGTCCTTTTTTGATACCTTTAATATGGCCGCATTTGATAATGTCGCGTCGTCCGATGCTGCCGGGGGAATTTCGAGCAGAATATGGGTTATTTTAGAAAAGGAGCGGAATGAGCAGAATTCGGCAGAAAAGTGCAGAAGAAGGAGCAGATACTCTGCAGAACCAGCAACGAAGTGCGGTGAGGGCTGCCTGTGCCTCTTTACGGCTCCATTGTGTTCACAAGCACGTGAGAATACGGCAGAATACGAGCAGAATGGGGCAAAATACCGGATGAATATGAGCCGTATGTCGAGCAGAAACCGCTACTTTCCCAGCAATCAACCGCGAGGGCCTAGCTTGGAATCAGTCGAGGAAGCCGAAATATCCGACGACGCCTATGCATAACTTCGAGTCGGGCCATCAGTGTTTTAGAAATGGCAGCCCAAATTATGCATCAATAATCCAAAAATAGGCAGAATATAAGCTGTGTAAATAACATGACGACAGTCCGCGTGGAGGTGCATGATATGTGAGGAGAACCTCTAATACAGATCTAACTCCTTGACCTACTCCCTCCTGGCTTCATAGCTTGGGCGCCTTCCAGGCCTGCAGAGCAGAGAGAGCGGTATACTGTTTACCTCCTCACACCCCGGCCCAATCTCTGCTCGAACGGATGCCCCTGTATACAGTTTCCAAGTATTACGCCTTGGGGCGACTCATCCTGGTGTGGCGCTGTGTCTATGGGAGTGCCAGCAGTGTCCTCCAGGACCTATTCTCACGATCAGCTCAAGCACCACCAGTCACCAAGTTTCCAGGTGTCTCACTGTCCCCTTGGCACAATTAGATTTTGCTAGACCTCGCCTGTTCTTCCAGCCTTTCAGCCTTGGCCTGGAGTGCACTCATAAGGAGTATGAGGGCTTACCTCCAATCCATGCGCCTTACCTTGCAATGAATGCTCTGTCTGACTTTGCCTGTCCATACACTCCGTCATGTATTCCTGTCTGCGTGCCTGTGTACTTATGAACTCTTTATATTCACTATGTTGACGCTATAAAATCGCTTATCATATCTCCCGTACCAAATTAAATAGCAATCTGTTGTCCGCTGCAACCTCTACCAACATTTGAACCGCTCACCAGGCATCACCAAATCATATCCCCGATGCCCCTAACCTCATTGCTACCCTCACTGTATCTCTCTCTCCCGTTTTGAAATTCGCTACCACAAATTGGGCACCATTGCCCATTTTTCCATGCGAAGTAATATAAAAATCAACAACACTTCACCGTTCCTCTAGCCGCAAAATTCAAAAAATGCACGACAAACCTCACTCTCTTTTGCATCAACTGTCGTGGTGAAAGATGTTGGTGGCGCAAGGAGAAGCGTGTGGTTTGGAGTGACAAGTGACCACCGTTGCTGGTTCTTACCAAAGTCAAGAACAATACGCTTTGTTATGCAGGGTTTTGAGATGTGTTGGAGTAGAATGTCTGGACTAGACGCCGCGCAATGGCACGGTTTCCTGTGGAGGTATGAGTTTGAATGTATATGAGCATGGTGGAGTGGAAAAATTCAAAAATGTTTATTTCAAGAAAGTCCAAATGGATGACGGGGACATGGCCTCGGTGCTAGAAGACGTATATAGTTCTTGCGGACATAGCTCGCTGGTTTATCAGCGCATGTAATGTTTTTATTTTTCTAGACGATCATTTGTTTCGTCAGGGGTGATGGCCCTCGTCTTCTGGAATGCTGGCTGAGCTAAGCTGTGCTTCCCCAGGAACCCATCAAAGGTGGGGCAATGTAGGCTTATGGTTCGTAGCTTTTTCGCGTACGCTATGGTGTGGATCGTTTGTAGACGCCCTTAATCATGTGATTTTGCGACCATTTTTGGCGTACGCCAATTTCAAGATTCCCTTATGAACCTTTTCAAGGGTTTTGCACATGCAATGTACACCCCAAAGGAAACCTACTTGCCAAATTTGAGCGAACTCGGAGAGATCGACTTGCACGGCATAGACCGGTTTTCTAAGATATGCACTCTTAATTTTTTCATTTTCATTTTCATTTAGACTTTATTTGAAGGATTCTCCAAAAGTAAATGGATACTTATCGGGGGAGTTTCCTGGAAGGGTGGATGACACGAAAGGGAAGTGAAAAGGGTGAAGGGAAAATAGTACTTAGCAGAAACACTGTTCAGGGAAAACTACAGGTAAAATCACCAGGGAGAAACAGAATACATGTACATGACGAGAGCTAGATACGAAAATCAGAAATTCCAGTGGTGGAGAATTTGTACGTTAAATAATGGTCCTTCAGGAGAAACCGAAACTTAGCAGAAGATCGCTCCCTGCGTAGGCTCTCAGGAAGCTTGTTCCAGCAGACAACTGATAAACCGAAAAGAGGAGATTTGAAGAAATGAGTTCCAGAACGAGGCAAAACGATAAAGGAAGGGTGGCGGCAGCTGCTGGAAATGGTGAAACTAAACTGGCTCAGTAGTGCTGGAAATTGGTAGAATACATGATGAAAATAAACTAGAGAGAGAATTTGTCGACGCCATTGGAGCGATTCCCATTCAAACAGATGATTCAGAACATTCTTGGATGTTGTCAAAGTAGGAAGCTGTCGGGTCTTACGTATTAGGTAGGATCAGGCAGCAGTAGCTTGTAGTCGATCCAATGTGCAGGATTGCGTAGACAACATGGCGAACAGCCCAACAGGGACAGCATACTCCAGCAAGGGTCTCACGTAACATTTATACAGTAAATTGATGGTTGGTGCGGGGAGACAGCGGGTCATGTGGCATAATAGACATACTCTACTGCGATACTTACTAGTGATTTTAGTAATACATGTATGGTCAGAGAAACTAAGGTTCGGAGAAAGGGTAATACCAAGGTGACAGTGCCTGTCAGCCGTCGTAACCTCAGTGTCATCCATTTTGAAGGGGGATGGACAGGGAGTCACGGCATGTTTCCGAAAGGACACATGAACACACTTGCTGGTGTTAAACCTCATGGCAGTGGTTCTTGACCATTTGAGGCAATGTTCAATATCAGCTTTAAAGCTGGCATGGTGAGCGGGCACTGACGTTTTAGGCGGGGAAACGAGGATTAAATTGGAGTCGTCAGCAAAAAGAGAGAGAGTACTGGAGACAGGGGCATCAGGAAAAGAGTTTATGCATAGATTTAAGAGGAGGGGGCCGAGATGAGACCCGATTATCACGAACGAATTGTTTTAAAGGGTAAACGTGCCGTTTGTTGCGTTATTAATATAATTATATTAATATTTTGAGTGCAATAAAGAGTATATTAAATGCAGACATGGCCAGACAACAACCAGTTGATTGAATTTTAAAGGATTTTTTATTATTCAAAATCGATTTTCGTGTTCCGCTCTTCAGTGAATATTATCGGTACTGAGGGTAAAGTATACTTCACACCTTTAATTACCGGTATGCTGTTATAAAATGTTCTTTTTGTACACACTGTACATTACCCTCAGCTCCAATACATGAAAATCGATTTTGAACAATAAAAAATCCTTTAAAATTCTATTAACTCGTTGTTGTCTGGCCATGTCTGCATCTAATATATACTCTTTATTGCCCTCATAAATTTGCATTCTCCACGCCGACTCTTTATTGATATTACTTTTCCTAAATTAAAAGGGGGTTTGCCGACTGACAATCGCTCTATCAAGTTGCTATTCACTCTTTAGATAAAAATTCTTCTATGATGTCGAAATATTATTGATGTTGCGGGCCAGTCTCCCATCGTCAGAACAATTTTATTATTTTTTTCCTTTTCTTACCCTCAGAATTATGCGAGGACATAAATGAATGTGACATACCTGATGTCTGTAATCCTAGTAGCAGCTATTGTGACAACCAGCCAGGAAGCTACAGGTGTGAGTGCAAGAACGGGTTCATTAAACAGGATAATGTCTGTACCGGTAAGAATCTTAGTCTTATCCGTTGCGCTCAGATAACCATGGTATATCTAATTTTGAATTCACAGCACCTTCATTCGCTTCTGTAAACAACAATAGAGAGGTTTCATAGAACGTAATCACGTGAACATTTCACGTCACATATGCTGTGTATGCTTTTCTGAAATACGTCGTGGTTTCATGCTTTAAATAGTTGGCGATACTGCATTTTTTTTAAGGATTAGGAGAACTTCTAATTCAAAGAACAGTCGGGGAAGTGAACTGCCTGAAAAGAGAAAAAAGCCAGACCCACCAGGACTCGAAACCGGGACCTTGTTTGTCATGAGCAATGTCTTAACTACTGAGCTATGGGACCAGGCTGAACCTAAAAGGCGCTGACAAGATTTTCACTCCAAAGCCAACTCACAACACATGCCACACATACTGATAGCACTTGGGTCCTTGTCCCTCCCCTAGGGGACCAACCACGGTCAGTTTCTGGAACGTACTATGAGAGGTGAAAGAAAATGATTAGTTTTTGAAATGAATAGGAAAGGCCTTCTAGGTTCAGCCTGGTCCCATAACTCAGTGGCATTGCTCATGACAAGCAAGGTCCCAGGTTCGAGTCCTGGTGGGCTATGCAAATGGTTGACTGCCGCTTGCAGGATATGCACCTGAACAGCGTTTTCGCACTCCGTCGATGAGGCTCCCAGAAGAGGAGCGTCCGCGGCAACTGAAGATTGTTGGATGTTTCAGGTGCCGCGCTGTGGGTCACTTGGCCAGAAACTGCTTTCAACAGCGCCAGGATGCTCATCAGGGGCACCAGCACAGGTCAATACCACCCAAACGCTGTTCGCCAGTCGCGAAGGTGGTGACTGGCGACCCACTGCAGCGCTCCAAGTGCAGAGCCATCTTCTTTCCCTTGCCGGACTCATTTCCATGCCTCGTTCTAAGAAGACCCATGTTTGCTAGATGAAACGCATCAGATGCAAAGCCATTGCATCACGTGCACGGGAGCTTGGTCAGTTACTTCAGTTTGACGGCCACCACGGAGCACGACTTGAGGCCATCGAAACGTATGCCTTCAACACCGGGGGCATCCCCAGGCAGCATGGCTTCAGAAGGTGGTAGCCGAGCCTCCGGATGCTTGTCCAGTAATGCCTCTTTGACAGGAATAGAGGAACCATCCCGGAGAGGTACGGTATCGTTGATGTTCAGCACACCACCCGCTTCACCACATCTGCCTGGATCCAGGCATCTAAGTGCATCATGCACACGGCCCTGGCACATGAGGTCGGAGAAGTGGCGAGCCTCATCTTCCTCACCTCGCTTGCGGCCTCCCTTACGAGGCCGAAACAGCAAGTCTTGCAGGCAGCGGACTTCGCTCATTAATGACGTCAAATTCCCCGCTTGCCACAATGCCATTCGCCGCTGCAAATGCAGAGTATTCTCTTTTGGTTTGCTATTGCTACGGGTTGACTGCAACATCAGGGAAGGAAGCACGGAGAACCGGTAGAGAGCGATGCAGTCAGTGCCAGCAGAGTCAGTGAACCGTCGAAGCTCTGCAACTAATAGATTGACAAAAGCCTTGCCAATGGACCCCGTCGGGATACGAAAGAACTGCTTCCGCCAATGAACGATCTCATCATAGCACGACGTTATGGAGAGTTGTCCCTGATCCTCTCGCCCGATGCTCTGCACTGGTAGTATCTCCTGTTCGTCTCCAGGAGTAGGAGCAAATCGAGAGTTGGCGCTTTCCCGAGCGGGACTAGGCTCAGCATTGTCCTGGTTCACCGCCAAGTGTACTGGAGGCGCTGTAGGAACCAGCGGTGGCATGTCCTGGCTTTGTGTGTTGGCTGGTGAAGATGATGGTGCCGCTGCTAAAGACGCATCCCGGGCTCCAGCGCGAGTTCGACGTTGCGTGGAAATCTCACTTGGGTAAACTCTTCTCAACCAGGCAGGGGGTTGATCGCGCCAATCCACGCTTGGGTGAAGGTCGGCGCCAGACATAGTTGCGCTGTGTACAGGACCATCCCGACTGGCAGCCTGAGATGTAATGCCGTTGACAACTACACCATCCACCTGGCTGTTGGTAACGCGAGTTCCGGAACTACATGTAGCGCCGTCACCCACACCAGTGCTGTGGCCACAGGACGCCCCAGTCCCAACGCCTGGAGTGCTATTTCTGCAGGTTGATGGGTTGTTGCGACTCGGGTAGCAGTCAACACATGGGGTGTCAGCAGCCTTGCAAGCACATCGCTGACACTTCCCCGTGAGCTGGCACTGGCAGCAGGGCATTGCCGCTACTGGAAACAACAGTTGGAGACGCGATGTCGGCTCGACATGGAGGTGTGACGACTGGTGACTGCGGGCAGAACCCGACTCCAGAAAGTGGTGAGAATCTGCTAACACAAAATATGAACAGTAACCAAAGAAACCAAGGAAAAAAAGAACAAAACCCAACACAACACGGTAAAACAACAGCAGAGTAGCGTTCTCATCAAGGTCTCCTTCTTCTCCAGCCTCCAAGCAAATCGAGCAGTCACCAGCACCTCCAGAGCTCCAGAATCACCAGAATCACCAGCACCTCCAGAGCTCCAGAATCTCCAACCGACCTCCACCAGCGCAACTCTGAAGCGTGTGCTCCTCGTTGGAGCAACCAATTTCATGACTATTACTGCCGTAGTCGCAACTTCTAAGTTCGTATTGTTGTCCCTCACGCGGACGTGCGCCTAGTTGTTGGAGGTGACATCGTTGTGAATAGCTATACTGGCTCTCAATGTCTGTTTAGCACAACTCCATGAGCGACTCTGACTCACGCTGCTACCTGGGGCTTCACAAGGTGTTTGTCGCGCTGGAAACAAAGCGTCTCTGTAAGTTTGTATCCCTGGTGATGGTTTGGCCTGGAGAGCAGTATAACTTTAAGTGGTGCTTTTCAGGCACAATTTTCCTCAACCTACTCAAGCTCAAGTGATGAGGGCTGAATTCCCCGAAACACTGTGTATTGAGCAGGGAGTGGTGCTTTCTTTCAGGTTTGCTGAGCGGAAGGTTGGATGTGCTCCTGGTGTGCTCCGGATGGCAGTCGTGAGTCAGTCAAGTGTCAAGTTCGGCAAGAAGCGTGTGCTCCTAGTTGGAGCAACCAACTTCATTATGTTTTTTATTTTATTTATTCAACATCTTAAAGCTTCCGATGGCAGCCAAAACGGGAAGATGTGGGTGATAGCCAACCATGGAAAAAGAAGGAAATGATTATACATGAAAAGGAAAAAGCGGAAAAGCTATATTTAGTAGTTTATTATTATTATGGTGCACTCGGTCATCAGCAGGCCCTCAGATTCACTTTAAATTCCTGCAATGATGCAGAAGTCTTCACTGAGTTTGGAAGTTGTAGCCACGCACAGTAGCCCTGGAAGAATGGCGATCTTGTGAATTGCGTTGCCTTGACCTTGGGAAGAGACACTTTGTTTCTGGTTGAGCGGCCCGAAACAAACCAGTTATAAAGCTGTATATGTTCAGGAACACAACCCAAGAGCATTCGAAGAACCAATATGCAGAGGCAAGTTAGTCGGCGTTGCTCTAACGGAGTAGTCTGAGCTAATAACTCATTGGAGGGAAAGGAAGGTTTCTTCGAGAACAAAAATGTTTTACCTGATAATTGTCCAGAGTACCTTGGACTATTCCAGCACAGGTTATGTTCACTGCTTGTCTGCTAAACTCAGAGACAAACTTGAGTCAACCAGCAATAGGTGCCTAAGGCGAGTGTTTGTCCATGATCAGTATACTTCTATCGATTTCATTCTCACCAAATATCACCTGTATACTTTCTCTAACTTGAAGCTGTTTGTGTTTGTTTTTAGGTGTCTATCTCGTTGCACCACTCCTCTTTTAAGCACGATATTTACCCCCCGCTCTGCATCATGCCGCACAAATGCTGCTACCCGCGGTCAAGCTTCAGCCGCTCTGAACCTACCCAGAACTACGTCTCGTCACGGCCTGAATGCTATTTAATTTTTGGCAGCAGACAGATGGAACATGCTTCGACCTGGATGTCGTCATTCCTAGGGTTCCCAGTAAAACGGCAACGCCTGTTGGGAGTTCCCTAGTAAAATAATAAATTCTACTACTACTACTACTGCTACTACTACTACTACTTCTACTACTACTATCGCGGCAGGTCGCTTAAAGTGCTTAACTAAGGTTTTAGGAGCGGCTTCTACGAAGCTTGGGAGCAAGCACTGCACGAGAGAACTCAATACCTTGCGGCTGAGCAATAATATGAGAAGGAAAACAATGGTTGCCAGGAAAACATCAGTTCTTGGTACATCCATTGCATCGCGGCAGGTCGCTTAAAGTGCTCAACTAAGATTTTAGGATCAGCTTCTGCGAAGCTTGGGAGCTAGCACTGCACGAGAGAGCTCAATACTTTGCGGCAGAGCTATAATATCCGGAGGAAAACAATGGTCACCAAGAAAACATCATTTCTTGGTACATTCATTGTATCGCGGCAGATCGCTTGAAGTGCTCAACTAAGGTTTTAGGAGCGGCTTCTGATGGTGCGGAAGTCTGCGAGTTGTTGGGGGTGCTGGTCCTAGACAAACTTGCGGAGATTCTTGATAGGAGCGGCGTTGGATTATACCGCGATGATGGCCTAGCTGTGCTGAGAAATGCCTCTGGTGCTGCGGCCGACAAAGTGTGCAAGGATATCACCTATGCCTTTGCGTCGTTTGGCCTCAGAGTAACCATTGACGCCAACCTAAAAGTCGTCAACTACCTGGACGTTACGCTTAACCTCTACCAGCCTTACAGAAAGCCAAATGATAACCCACTCTACCTCAACATCCAATCCAATCACCTTATTATTATTTTTTTCTGTTTCTGTTTTAATGACAGTCCACTGCACGCCTGAAAAAAGTACTAAGTTTATTAGGCGGGTTACAGAACTATTGACGTATCGTTCGCTGGCTTACTTGTAGTTTGATAACGCCTCGCTCTTCATTGAGATATCTACCATTCTCTCTTGTTTC